ATTTTAGTTTGTGGTGTAATTCCAAATTTATGAAAGAATTATGATCGGTTATAGGTGAAGAGTGGTTAATAACTTAAATGAATTTCGGTTTTATTAATTAGTGTAATAATCATGGTTTAGAGCAGTGGCATGATATGGTAATTTTTTAGGAAAATTAAGGGTTATTTTTCATTTGTACTTCACTTTTAATAGATTAGATAATTAATCATAATAAAAGAAGGAAGAAGGGGGTGGGGGCAGTAAATGAGAGAGGAGGGAGAGTCAAGAAGACTGAAGACAGATCTCTCTTTCTCTCTCTGTGTCTACTTGGAAAAACACAAGTGGGTCCCCCATCTTTCCAGATATTTGTTCTCTCTTTCCCTCTTCTTCGCCTTCCTCCTCAAATCTCCTCCTGTGAACTCCACGTTTCTCTGTGTTGTTGTTCGATCCATCTTTTTGAGTTATGGGAAGCTGCTGGTCCGATAGTGGTCGTGGTGGTGGAATGGTCGGCGTTGGTGGAACTACTTCCTCCGCCGCCGCCGCCGGCTACTCTTCTCCAAACGACGCCGTTGACTACTACCTCAAGTCTCGCGGCTTCAACGGCCTCTTCTCTCAGATCGAGGTCTCTTCCTTTTTTTCCTTCTTCTTTTGATACAAAGATTTGAAATTCTCATACTTCTCTCAACTTCATGTCTTTTTTTTTTTTTTTTTTTGTTTCTTTTTCCTCGTAGTTATCGTTCTCTGCTTCCAATTTACGAGACGGTGACGTGATTTCAAAGGTTTGTTCCACTTTCACAAATGCTATTTTGCTTTTAAATGGATGGTTATAGACTCAAAGAATGGTTTTGTTTCTCTTTAGACAAATAAAAGGGATTGTCTTAAAAGTATATCTTTTTTGAAACATTGTATACTTTTGGGTTGTGATATGCAGAGCGATGCAATGGTGGTTGTTTATATTAAAGGAAGAGATGGAACACTTTCTGAACTCTTCCGCAGTGAAGTTGTTTTGAATTCTCTGAATCCTAAGTGGATAAAGAAGCTCACAGTCTCTTATCAGTTCGAGGTTGTCCAGACTTTGCTGTAAGTCGCCTTATAAACTTTGACTTGAGGAGATGATTACAGTTTATAACCTTCTTTCTTCTTCTGCACAGGTTTCGTGTGTATGATATTGACACTCAGTTTCAAAACTCAAAGGAGGAGGTATATGCTTAAAAAATCTAATTGTATACTATACCCTCATGTTCATTCTCCCACTTAACAAGTGTTACAGTTCATGATTGAGGAGTTTCATTTCAGATGCTGAAGCTCGATGAGCAGCAGTTTCTCGGCGAGGCAACATGTGCATTGTCTGAGGTATCTTATCCACTGCTGAGCTAAGCATTCTTATTAGATTTGAGGATATAGATTAATTTGATCAACTATGCAGATTATCACCAAATCAAATAGGACGATTCCCTTGGAACTCATGCGTAAAGAAAGTGTTGCTGGACAGAACTATGGAAAGCTTGTTGTCCATGCTGAGGAGTCTATAGCTTCTAAGACAACGACAGAGATAGTTTTTAGGTGCTTGAATTTGGAATCAAAGGATCAATTCTCTAAAAGTGTAAGAGCTATTGTTAGTCATACTCTTTCACCAGAACTCACTTCAGACATTAAGCATGACATGTGTGTTTCTTCACTGTGTCAGGACCCTTTTTTAGTGATATCTAAGATTGTAGAACATGGGGCTCCAATTCCAGTCTCTAAAACCGAAGTCTTGAAAAATGATACCAATCCGGTTTGGAAACCAGTCTTTCTTAGTGTTCAACAAGTTGGGAGTAAGGTATAACCAGAGAGAGGTTTCTTATACCTTAGTTTGTTTAAACAGGAAGGTGTATCAGTTATCTTCTTCTGTAATCGTTGCAGGATAGTCCCTTGGTAATAGAATGTTTAGACTTCAATGGCAATGGCAACCACAATCTTATCGGGTAACCACAAACTTTCAAACTCCTTCCATTCTAGTTTGGGATAGGAAGATGAGTTGCTAAAGCTGAGATGATTTTGGATTTTTGCCAGAAAAGTTCAGAAGTCACTTGCAGACTTAGAAAAGCTTCATTTGAGTGGCCAAGGAATCAATCTATCCTTACCTACCGGTGTTGGACATAAACATGAAGACAAGGTATTGATGTCTTCAACACAGAAACAAGAGCTTGAAATACAATCTTAATACCATTTGCCATTGTTTCAGGCATTAAAGAGTCAGATTTTCGTGGACAAGTTTACTGAAACTGTTCAGCATACATTCCTAGAATACTTGGCATCTGGTTTTGAATTAAACTTTATGGTCGCAGTTGATTTCACAGGTTTGAATATACTCTGTGGTAAAAAGTATCTGACAAGGGTTACAGTTTCCTTTAAGACTAATCCTTTTGTCTGTCATTAGCTTCAAATGGAAATCCTCGCCTCCCAGATTCCTTGCATTACATTGATCCTACAGGAAGATTAAATGCCTACCAGAGAGTAAGAACACTCTCTGCTTAACTTCTTTCTGCTTCCTTGGCAGAAGCAGTGACTGTGTGTGTGAATTGTGATCCATCTTGCTTTCTTGTATTCAGGCAATTGTTGAAGTTGGAGAAGTGTTGCAGTCCTATGACTCTGACAAACGGTTTCCAGCATGGGGTTTTGGAGCTCGTCCTATCGACATACCAGTTTCACATTGCTTTAACCTCAACGGAAGCAGTACTTACTGCGAGGTCTGGTGAACAGATCTGACTCAAGTCAACAACATGAACTAACTTTGTAACAAATTCAAATGCTTTATCAGGTAAATGGGATACAAGGTATCATGAATGCATACAATGGAGCTCTCTTCAACGTCTCTTTTGCAGGGCCTACTCTCTTTGGCCCCGTGATTAATGCTGCTGCAACAATCGCAAGCGAGTCACTCGCTCAGAACGCAAAGAGATATTACGTCTTGTTGATTATCACTGTGAGTTTTATGTTCTTTTCTTTTTCTATGTAATAAAAGATCAATGGAAACTAAACTATGTGGTTTTTAATAGGATGGAGTAATAACAGATCTGCAAGAAACTAGAGATGCATTGGTCAGTGCGTCAGATCTACCATTATCAATCCTCATAGTTGGAGTAGGAGGAGCTGACTATAAAGAAATGGAGGTTCTGTATACAAACTTAAAGACTAGAAAGTTTGTGGTTTCCCTTAAGATTCTTACAGAGTTGTGTTGTCTGTGTAGGTACTAGATGGAGACAAAGGAGAGAGGTTAGAAAGCTCTAGTGGTCGTGTAGCGTCACGTGATATAGTCCAGTTCGTTGCATTACGAGACATACAATGTGAGTCTTTGCTTGTGTTTCTTGATTTGTTTGGGCCTTTACTGATATATATGTGTTGTGTGTGTATATGTGTTTGCAGATGGAGAGGTGTCAGTGGTAGAAGCGCTTCTAGCGGAATTGCCTTCACAGTTTTTGGCTTACATGAAAAACCGTAATATCACTCCCACCACCACCTCTGCTTCTTGATTCACACTTACTACTCTCAACACTCTTCTGTACATACACATCTCTAAACGGTTTCATTTTCTATTTTATATTATTGTCTGGAATTTTTTCCGTTTCCAGTATGCCACGTCAAATTTTATAAACTTCACTCTTTGATTTGTTTGTTTTTCTTTTTTATTTATTTATTTCGGATGATTTTTTTTATTTTAAATTTATTTGTCAAATTACCACCAGTTGTGTTCGGGGCATATTCAAACCTAAATACTGTTCAACGGTCAATATATTCTATTGTTGACTTTAATGTTTTCTTTGTTAGGATTTAGGTGCTGACTTTCGAAGCCGAACTAACTTAGCTTTAAGGGTGGACTGTTGATTTATATTTACCGTACTTCTCGCCGAAATAATAACTTGTGAAAAAATAAGATGTAACTAGAGCTAAGGCTGAATATTTTAACCATTAAATATTTTATTTGATTTGTTATTTTTTTTATTTTAAAAAGTTGGATATTTATAAACTGTCGAGACAATTCAAATATTAAAAATTAATATTTGTTAAAATTAAGCAAATCATAAATGATAAAAAAAAAATTTAGAGCTGAATATCCGTTCTACTCCGATTTTATATAAATAGATGTATATCTCCAAATAAATAGAGCTTTCTATGTATAATTTTATGTAATTATTATTTAAACATATTATTTATTATTTTTATTTGAAAAATTAACTACAAAGTATTTAAGAAAAGTATAAAATATCTATAAAAACTACAATTTTTTCTAATTTTTTTTGTTTTATAAGAAAATTTTATTAATTTTACAAATTTATGGAACATATAGTTGCACTAATTTTTACTTTTCATTTCATATTATGTAGAATTTTTTTTGAAAATAAATTTCTATAGTTTTTAAATTATTTACTTGTATTAACCAAAGTGAATAAGATAACAATAAATATTCGCAAATATCCAGAAAAAATTGGATATCTCAAAATAGATATCCATATTTCTCCGAAACAAAACAAATCGAAAAATCAAATCACAAATATGATTCGATCCGTGCCCACCCCTAACTAGGACAACATTTAGTAAACATATTTTTTATCTAATAACTTTTAAGCTAGCTCTGAATATTTAAATAGATTATGAAACAAAAATCCAGAATTTGTATGGTTTAAAAATCTTTTGTTTATATGCATGTAAAATCTTTTTGTTGATCATATTGGATTAAAGCATCCTTCTAGACATGAAGTGTACACTGGATGGATTATTTCCAGATATTGATGAAACTTGAAAAGATCTTTGAATATCTGTTAGTAGGAAGAGATCTACTCCAAAACAGCATGATCACTTCACACGTTTTCTCTTGAGTTAGTGATCAGTGTACACATCTATGATCTCTTGGATATATAACTAATTTTTTTTCGATCTCTATCCAAATATTTCCGAAGAAAGAAAAAATCACATCCCACTTCACGAAAAAAAAAATCACACGTAAGCTTCTCTTTTTAGTATATTTGAACCAATGAAAAGAAATATTATCATATTATATTTTATTCCTTAACTTTTTCAGAGGATCGGTCTACCCCAAAAAGATATTTTATGTTTCTTTGTATTAGAAAAACCATCGATAAAATGTTCTTAGTTGGTTGTTTTCTTCGATTCCATACATGTGTTCCCGAAAAGAAACCAGCAACGAATATATAACATGCATGCATTTCCCTTCTTTATTTTTTTCTTTAAATTATCATTTGGGATCTTTTTGAAACGTTCATATTTATTTTGAATTCTTCTGTTAGAGCTTTACTAGTAATCTTTATTGATATCCACTTCTTAACTTCTTTAAATTCACACGTACGCATTTCTGCTATATGCAAATCAAAAAATCTTTTAACGCGTCTCTACAGTTTTGATAACAAGAACTCTCATACAAGTGAAATGATTTTTACGTGTCTCGGAAATTATCATACCTAGAAAAACAAACAAATTTTAAATGAATATACAAAACTTCAGCTTTACGTTTTTATTATTCGTTTACTTGTGTACGTTCACATAGACAAAAATGCTTCTATAAAACCGTAAAAATTGCTCACTCCAAAACCCTAACTAATATCTCTCTTCCACTCATCTTCATCTTCTTTGTTTCTCATGTTCAACTCGTACTCTAGTTAAAATAGTTCACAAACTAAAACCCTAAGATCTAGACCAAGTCCAAACCCTCCTATAAAGAGAAAGGGATTTAAAATATTCCTGAAAAGATGGCGAATCAGAGAAATTATGGGAAGATGCCTTTTATAGCCGGTGAATCGGAGGAAAAGAAAGAAGCCGTTGATGAGGAGAACATATTTCCTTTCTTATCAGCTCGATCTCAATACGACACGCTTGCCATGGTCTCAGCCTTGACCAGTGGCGGAGGTAGAGTTTTGTTTTGTAGGGGGCATGATTAAATCTGTTCATAAAACTAAAGATAGTTTTGTTAAAATCATGGGGGCATATATAGTATTAGTCAATGTTTTACACAGAATTTTCAAAATGAGTTGGGGTCAGATGCCCCCCTCTTACTCCATGTGCCTCCGCCACTGGCCTTGACTCAGGTCATTGGAAACCAAAGCAGCACTCATGATACTAATCAACATCACCCTGTAAAGTATAATCAACATGATCCTATCCAACCTGTTCCTCCTACTCAAGATCAAGGTATATAAATATATATATGCACATATAACCGGATTTTGTAGCATATGTATTCCAAATATCAGCTAGTATACATTGATATGTTCATAGAATTCACATAATAACGACGAGAATATTCATCTTATCTAGCAATTTACTTGTGTTGTGTGATAAAACATATATACGAGAAGTGTATCAACCCCATATATGTTAATATTTTATGTTGATTGTATGAAGGAAACTTGAGGAAGAGGCATTATAGAGGGGTAAGGCAACGGCCATGGGGAAAATGGGCTGCTGAGATTCGAGATCCACAAAAGGCAGCACGCGTGTGGCTCGGGACATTTGAGACTGCTGAAGCTGCAGCCTTAGCATATGATGAAGCAGCTCTTAAGTTCAAAGGAAGCAAAGCCAAACTCAATTTCCCTGAGAGAGCTCAACTAGCAAGTAGCACTAGTACTATTACCGGTCTACCAAACTACTCTTCTAATAATCAAGTTTACTACTCAAATCCGCAGACCAATCCACAAACCATGCCGTATTATAACCAATACCACTATAACCAATATCTTCAGCAAGGAGGAAATAGTAACGATTCACTAAGCTATAGTTTAGCCAGTGGGGACACCGGAGGTTCAATGTATAATCATCAGTCAATATCTACTACAACTTCTTCATCTTCTGGTGGATCTTCAAGGCAACAACAAGAACAAGATTACGCTAGATTTTGGCATTTTGGAGATTCTTCTCCCAGTTCAGGTTTTTGAGATCCTCATAAAAGTAATAAGGGATTTCGGGTGTCTTGTTGAGGAGAACATATGTTCCTTGAGTGTTTTGTGTTTTCATTATGTGTGTGTGTTTTGTTTCTGATCATATTGTTTATTTCTTCCTTCAAGAATTTTCTTGGGGTTCTTTGTTAACAACCCTTGGGTTTAATTTCATAGTAGAATAAATTAGCTATATACAAAAATTTACCTTAGAATTTATGGGAGTAATCTCAAATAAGTACACATACGTACTGGTTGAGTCTCATGAGTACATGATGTTAACCGATCTATCATATGACGTGTATAACGTAGGTGATAAAGACAACATAAAACCAAATAAAATCTAAGTATACAGGATGTCACATGACTGATCATATTCATATCACATGATAAATGTTAAAATTTGTTTAATTGTGATGTGTCGATTATATTACGTACCTGCGCATAATAAATACAGTCAAAGCAAAGCTTTCTTGAATGAGAATATATGTATCTTATATGACATAGGCAAAGCAGCATTGGACATATGTTACCGTCGGTATTTGGCACTCTTTCTTGTAGTGTAAATATAATGCTATGCCTTCTTATATTAATATTGAACATTCGTTTAGCCACATTGGACTGTTTTATATTTTTCTTTGTATGCGCTCTTCTAACACACTTCGAATTCACAAAACTATTACGTTTAAAGTTTGTATGAATCGGATCAGGTCATTAAGAATAACGTTTATTTTTTAATACTTAATCCGTTCCAGTACGATGGTTAGAATATTTTATCGTAGTTACACATTAATATATTTCTAAAAAGATTGTGAGTTTTAATATAGTTAGGGTCCCAAAAAGTAGTTGGTTTTTCTATCAAAACTAGTATATGAGACTTTCTTTTTTTTTGTTACTGGTATAATGAGACTTTCACAAACACTTTTTAGTTACAATTCTAAAAATAAAGATAGACTTGAATTTGAAGTAACAAGTATGAAAACTTGACCAAAACAGATTCCCTGAGGGCTTGTTCAACTCCTTGAATTTGTCAATCCAAAGAGGCTGACTTCTCTTGACCCATGTTTTCATGTACCTCTGCTAATTTAATATTTATCTCGTCTTTTACATTAAATTTACGAACATGAATATGCCTATCTACGGTATACAATGATATAGGATTTGTGTAATGCAGATTCATAAAAACATATTACACATATGATGAGATACTTAATTTAAGAAGAATTGTATACCAATTTGAGTTAGATTCAGTGAATATATGTTTCAGAAATGAAAGAAATCATTTCGTTTTTAAGTCAAAAAAAAAAAAAGAAATCATTTCGTTTTGAAATTCAGAGACTTATTTTTCATCATGATACCAATTGAAATGATGGTTACGATGATAATGAATTGTTTTTATTAATAAATACTTTCCGACCAACGCGTTGTCTCCTCTTTCTTTTGTCATTTTTTCTTCATATTTTACACATTACCGTAAATGGTTAGTGCTTCAAACTTATTGGTATATAAATCTCGGCCGCCGACAAAAATCTGTACTTCAAGACATTCGTGGAACTTCAAAGCATAACATTATTTTCTGCACTAAAAATTTACCACGCGCGTAGGTAAGGTTACAGTGTATCACAACAGTTTTCTACATAAGTTGGGTTTTGATCATAAAACTGTTATCTTAGACATCGTAAAAGATGGCCTATACACTATAGAAACCTACGCGTAGTTAGCTACGCATAGAAACCCTCTCCTCTTATCAAAAATATTGTAACATAATACAAAGTTCACATGGAAAGTGATCCGATCAACATTCATACATGTTACAATATATTGAACCAATACTGAAATTCTTTGATGTGAGTTTCAGAGATATCGTATTCGTACCGTTGCTTGAAAAACACTACAGATTATTAAACATAAAATACAAATATTATCTCTCCCGACAGATAGAATATAAGAGTATCAATAACTAAATGGTCGCGCACGCACGCCGGCCTGTCACCGCCCTTTCAACTTTTGCGGCCTTCTAAACTCTCACAAATCTCAACCACTATCCTTTACCTTCATTTTCAAACTTATCGGCCCAAAGACGTATGTATGCAACCTCTAGGCATGCATACCAAAGTAGAAGTAAATAGAGAGAGATATGTATCAAATATCAATTTGTATATATTTGTATGTTTTGCTTGCTTCAAATTGCACCGACTCGCACTCATTGTATATACAACGCAACCCATTATAGTTTCCCAAATAATCCGGCCCATTTTAGATGAACCCAAATCCTTTCCATCATGCATATACTTCAATTTTCTTTTTGCTTATTCGCATTCACGTTTTAAAAACTTAAGACCAAATAAATTGATTAATTTGTTTCTACTTCACGGTGTCAGTGAGGATGGTGTGAAGTTTGTCGGTTGAAAGATAACATGTAGAGAATAATAACTTTTGGCTTGTCTGTAAACGGGTTTCATGGGAATGAACAATACAGTATCTAAAAAGAGAGAAGGAATAAGGAGAATCTTATGAGCTTTAATCAATCGTGATATGTTAATTAAACCCCTTTTGTTAATTGCAATTAACTTGAAAAAAAAAAGGAAAAAATAATCCGACCTGCCGGAATCGAACCAGCGACCTAAAGATTTGCTGTCACAGACTACAGTCTTCCGCTCTACCAACTGAGCTAAGGTCGGTTGTTGTATGTACTTCAACGTATATTGGATTAAAACTAATTATTCCAATAGTCTTGATAACCAATATACAAACCGGAGCGGAGAACCAGCGACCGAGTTTGCTTACCAAATAATCAACCACCCAAAATTAACCATATAAAAATATTATTCTCCTCTCTCTAAACTTCCCTCGTAAATTTCTAGATCCGTCACATGCGCTATACAAGTCAAATTTTACAGTCAATCAACGTCTCTGGTTCGACCTCAAAACCGGGACACGCACACGGTTTCATTTTAGACTCAATCGCACGTGCCGTGTTATGATTGCACGTGGAAGCAAAGAGATAGAGAGAGAGAGAAGATAATTGTGTGAGAAACGTTAACGTCACTTGCAGTTGACAGATGACGCCGGATTCTCCTTCACCGGCCGTCGTTTAAAGCCACCGCCTTTAATCCCAAACTCACTCCCCGGAGCCCCGACGACACTAAAGTCAACAACTTTCCTTCTGGGTTTCCTGAACTGAATCTGAGAATCCCGTTACATCGTCTTGGACGGTTCTCTCTCTCTCTCTCTTTATAAACACGCCACAAAGATGAACGATCCATAGAATCAATCACAACGCAATGACGAAGAAGCCACCTGTATCCATAACCATGGAGCACGTCCTGTTAGCGTTACGAGAGACCAACGAAGAGAGAGAGATTCGAATCCGCAGCTTATTCGATTTCTTCGACAATTCTAGTTTAGGCTTCTTAGACTACGCCCAGATCGAAAAGGGTCTCGCTTCCCTCCAGATTCCTACCGTGTACAAGTACGCAAGAGACTTGTTCAGAGTCTGCGACGCCAACAGAGACGGGAGGGTTGATTACAACGAGTTTCGTCGTTACATTGACTCCAAGGAGCTTGAGCTTTACAGAATCTTCCAAGCCATTGACGTCGCTCACAACGGCTGCATTTTGCCCGAGGAGCTTTGGGAAGCTCTTGTCAAAGCTGGTACGTGTAAAAAGTTCCAACCTTTATGATATAACGGAAGTAAAGTTCGAATCTTTATGATATAACGGAAGTAAAGTTGGAATCTTCATAATATAATTGAAGTAAAGTTCGAACCTTTATGATATATGGATTGTAAAGTTGGAATCTTTATGATGTATGGATGTAAAGTTCGAATCTTTATGATGTATGGATTGTAAAGTTGGAACCTTTATTGAGATTTGTTGATTGAGATTGTAGGGATTGAGATAGATGATGAGGAGCTAGCTCGTTTCGTGGAGCATGTTGATAAGGACAACAACGGAACTATAACATTCGAGGAGTGGAGAGACTTTCTTTTGTTATACCCTCATGAAGCAACCATTGAGAATATATATCATCACTGGGAGAGAGTGTGTTTGATAGACATTGGTGAGCAAGCGGTTATACCCGACGGTATAAGCAAACATGTTAAAAGAAGTAGGTTGCTTCTCTCCGGAGGATTAGCCGGAGCCATTTCTAGGACTGTAACCGCACCGTTGGATAGGTTAAAAGTTGTTTTGCAAGTTCAGAGAGTACACGCAGGGGTGATTCCGACGGTTAGGAAGATATGGAGGGAAGATAAGTTGTTTGGTTTCTTTAGAGGTAATGGGTTGAATGTGATGAAGGTTGCTCCTGAGAGTGCTATTAAGTTTTGTGCTTATGAGATGTTGAAACCGATGATTGGTGGGGAGGGAGGTGATATTGGGACGAGTGCGAGGCTTTTGGCTGGTGGAATGGCTGGTGCGGTGGCTCAGACAGCTATTTATCCTATGGATTTGGTGAAGACTAGGTTGCAGACTTGTGTGAGTGAAGGTGGGAAGGCGCCTAAGTTGTGGAAGCTGACGAAGGATATATGGGTGAGAGAGGGACCTAGGGCGTTTTATAAGGGTCTTTTTCCTTCTCTTCTTGGGATTATACCTTATGCAGGGATTGATCTAGCTGCTTATGAAACGTTAAAGGATTTGTCTAGGACGTATATTCTTCATGACACTGGTTAGATCACATCAAAAGCACTATTAGATCCTTATTGTTATGTGTTAATAATACTGAAATAGCTTTGATTTTGATTCTGCAGAGCCGGGTCCATTGATACAACTTAGCTGTGGAATGACATCAGGAGCTCTTGGAGCATCATGTGTTTACCCGTTACAGGTTGTAAGAACAAGGTAAGTAAGAGTTTTGTGTTTAATTTTTGTTTCTTGCATTGCCTGTGATTGTGAAAACGAGTTTGATTCTTGTGTTTGTTAGAATGCAAGCGGATAGTTCAGAGACGACAATGAAGCAAGAGTTTATGAAAACGATGAGAGGGGAAGGTGTGAGAGGATTCTACAGAGGACTATTACCAAATCTTCTCAAAGTGGTTCCAGCGGCAAGCATTACGTACATTGTTTATGAAGCTATGAAGAAAAATATGGCTCTTGATTAAAGCCAAATACACAATTTTCTCGGAGTTAGTCATTCATTTTTGTTTTGTTCACAAGGGGTGGAATCTTGAGCTTTAGATTATGTAAGATAACAGAAACAAGGCGAGACATTGATGTGTTCATGATCAAGACTCATGTCTGTAAAGTCACATCTTCAATAGAGTAAAATTACGATTCTGTTTTGATTTGGTTTAGTTCGGTTCATTTTCATATCTAATCTATTAAAAGAGAAGTACACATTTGAAATACCCCTAACTTTTCCTAAAAAATTACCATTACATACCACTGGTGTTAACAATACACATGAATTAATTAGTAGAGAAGGCTTTCATGGAGATTAGCAAGCCGCAAGCCCATTAACACTTAATTTTTGTTTGACTACGAACCAAATGTCTACATGAAATGGTTTAAATAATTTAGTGAACCAATGTTGTTAAGTCAAATCCCAAAATGTTGAATTAACATCTCGAACCAGGATTACTTCATAACTTTTTTTGTGGTAATGAGTTTGTTTAGTAATGTAATTGTTGAGAACCACTAGACTGGTTTACATGTATTATATGATTTTGATTCAATTTTAAAACCATTCGGTTTAGTATATATTAATTGTTAATAAACAGAATTCGAAATATATTTAATTTTTAGTTCTCAAAAATAAAATCAATTACAGTATAACCTCTTTAAATTAATAATCGATAAATTAATATCTCTATAAATTAATATAATTTTACAATCCCAAATTTAATTTTTGGTTCATTTAATATCTCGATAAATTAATAATTTCTATAAATTAATAAAAAATTTAGTTTTGGTGTAATCCCAACATTATTAATTTATAGAGGTTTCACTGTATTATAGATTTTATAATAATTTACATAAACAAGTCAACTAGATGTTCCTATAATGATTGACTAATTACTAACTTAACATAATAAACTCTTAATTTAAAGCCATCACATTAATAACAAAAAGGAGATACACTTGCTAATCATGATTTACTAGGATAACAACATTGCAAAATCTTTAGAATATTCATAATCTTAAATTGCTTCTTTTTTTTTTTTGAAACTCCAATCTTAAATTGCTTACCATTACATTTTTTTGTCACATGTGCTCAAAAATAAAACCGTGAATATTTTTACTAAATACTAAATATATGGAAAAGTATAATATTACCAAGATCACATTTATACAAAATATAAAATAAATAGGTAAACAATAATAAATATCGATTATTACAACACGGAAAATACACATGCGCATCTACATTTTGATTTTTTACATGGAAAAATACAATATTAACTAAATCACATTTATACAAAATATAAAAAAATAAGTAAATAATAATAAATATAAAATATTGCAATACATAATAATACATCCGTGCGGGCGCACGGGTCAAGACCTAGTTAATTTTAACCGTCTAAACTATCTCATTAATCTTATGATTATTAAATCACAATTGGTCGAAAATCGTGAGTGACAGTCCCAATTATAAAGGAATCTGATTTGACGTGGATCTTCAAGAGACTTCCACGGATTAGACTGCATGTTCTTACATGCATACACGTGTACTCATAACTTTCTACATCTCTCGTCTCAGCTCCAGATGTCTCCATTTTCCTTTATATTGCACAATCTTAACACTCCAAGTATCATCATCCAAATCACAAAAGTAATAAACTAGAACTAGCTCAAAGAAGCATCCTAGTCTTTTGTTCAGCTTGATCTCACTTACTTCTTCACAGATCCCTCACCAAGAACCAGCTATGGCGGCCCGATCAACAGTAAGTACTTAACACTTATTGACAACAAATATTTCTAATGGATTGACTCACGGTTTGACATTTTGCCATTTGATGTTGAAGGGTACTCACTTGCAAAGCGTGGTACAAAGGTTAAGGACTTACACTACGGCGACTACACCAAAATCCAAAGCGTATTCTCCAGCGGCTGAGTTTGGTGGTCAAAAACCAGCAGCAACCACGTCAAATGCTACAAAAGGTGATTTCACACCTGTCTACGTCTCCATAGGGATGATTTCACTGTCGGTCTCCTTCGGTCTCTACACAGCGTATCTTCACCTCCACGAGAATCCAAGCGTGCGTGTCAACAAGAAGACAAGAGAGACTGTTCCGGAAGTTGAGGATCCGGATAGAGTAATGAATGAAGCGGATAGGTTTGCTAATAGGTCCTGGTTTAGGAAGCTTGCTCACGTTCAGGAGTTTGACAAACATGACGTCATTCCTGACCCAATTAGGAAAGATCAGTTCGCTCATAAGCCTCGTGCTGTGACGCTTAAGGACGTTGGCGTTGATCCGAAGACGACAGCTGCTGCTGCTCACTGAAGTTTGAATGGTTATTTAAACAAGTCTTGAATAAAAACGATCTAATGTAATAATGTATCGAGAGTTTTTTGAAGGAGTCTATTGATTGTTTGATTACATCCTGTTTCGCATGGATGTAATCAAACAACTCGAGTGTACGTTTTTTCTGCTGTGTAACAGTCTGTATATATACCTAATAAAACTTTCTTTTTCTGACGATTGTTGAATGAACATCGACCATTGAGAAAATGTTGAGCATATAGTCATTGCAAGTCGCTATTATAAATTAGAATTTAACTTCAGAGAACTGACCTGATACTCCTACCTCACGGTTTGGAACAATATGTTTAACATCAGCACTGACTAATCCAACTTTCCAAACAGGCAAATCCACTCACACTTCAAAAGGTTTTTTCTTAATGTTCATTTCATTACCAAACAGAAGAAACCGAAACACCAAAATGTCTTTGATAACTCTCTTGGCCCCAAAGACAATATGTTACCACAACTTCGCAACATATTGTTAGCTTCGTACTAACAAACACACACACAACACTGAGTTGACTATTATTCCTAGCATAACAAAAAAAACCGTGGAGAAGAACTCATACGTGTATGTGTAACCTTCGGGGAGGGATTATAGCCTTAGGCGGATTAGGTATGGAGTCATCCGGTCCAAGATCATCGATAGGTGGTCGTTTTTTGTGGGCATCGGTAACCGATTGGTATGCCATGCCCAGTGCCAAAGCCTACCATAACGAAGAAAGAAAAGGAAGATCTGACACTTCGATGAACAGCATATAAGATAATAAGCTACACATTCGTTTAGGTTCACTTACAATGTGATCACGTTCAGGGGGAGCATAGATTCCAGCATTGATCGTTGTCCTCCTCCGACAACTCTTGGTCGGTGGTTCCGTTATGTTCTTGAAACCTGTAGGTATCACTAAAACAGGTAAACCAACAAGGTTTCCCATGCATACTTTCTCCCAATCGGTCACGTTTCCAATAAACGCATCCACTGTAAAGCTCTTCTCCACTTCTCTAATCAACTTCCCACGTGCTCTCTGCGCCTAAACCAACAAATCAAGAGATATTAATCAACCTGAGATAATCAACCGAACTATAAACCAAAAATGAAAATGGGTAAAAACCTGAATGTAATCAACGGCTGTAATAACACGAGCACGGCGTAACTCAACCGGCCATTGATCCTGAGCTTCGTAGAGATCCTCTAAACCGGTTCTTTGCCATTCATCAAAATGAGCTAACATGTCTACGTCCATCGTGAAGTTTAATATCCCTTGAACAGAATCCACCGTATAGTTTAGTTCGAAAGGAACCATATTAACACCTTTAGACCCAAGAACCTCCACAACCTGCAGATGTCACAAGTTGAATTAACACAAAACATGGTTATTCTCAATGCAAACATCATTTACCTTCATGTCAGCATCTTTGGTGTAACCAACAGTGAGTTTTGTGATATCAACGGAGAAGGGATCTTCAAACGCAATCTCTCTTGATGAGAGATCATCAGGATCTTTCCCTTTTATAGCGTCAAGAACTACAGCACAATCTGCTGCTGTTCTACAGAAAGGCCCAAGCTTATCCTGTGACAAGAGAAGTTGCATTTACAGAGTTATTAATGTACTCAAAGCATATGCTATTTTGTCCATACCAGGCTCTCGGATAAGCTCATCACTCCGGTTCTACCAACGCTACCAAATGTGGGACGCAATGCTGTTACGCCACACCTAGCTGCAGGGTATGTCATTGAGCCTGCTGTCTCCGAGCCTATGGCAAAGGGAACCATACCTGAAACAAAATTTAAATGGGAAAGAAACAGGTTATATTCAAGTTATGGTCAAATAAAAACGTTATCTTGATACATTTTTCTATAAAAGACTAACCAGCTGAAGTGGAAGCAGCAGGTCCAGCTGATGAACCGGTTGAGAATTCCTCTATATTCCATGGGTTCCTAGTCCGTCCTCCGAACCAGATGTCATCATAAGCTAGAGAGCCTGTTACAAGCTTTGCTACTAAAACTGCACCTGAAGCTTTTAATCTACAGAAAAAAGTGTCCTGTCATGTTAGCTCCGATAGAACATAAGAAACAGAGGACATGGTGAAAATTTTCCTTTTCAGAACCTTTTGTAAACCCATGCTTCAATATCAAGAACTTGGTCTTTGAAAGAGGTTGAACCCCATGTAGTTTTGTATCCCGGGACCGCAACTATATCCTTTAAACCATATGGAATTCCGTGAAGAGGTCCTATCACGCACACATAAAATATTAACAAGAAGCTTGAAGCATCAATCCATCAAAGAAATCAACCAATGAGAGTAACATACCGAGATAAGTTCCCTGAGAGAGTAAATCATCAGCTTCTTTGGCTTGTTTGTATGCTAACTCTTCAGTATAAGTAACCACCGATTCAAGAACATGATTGTACCTTCAAGAACCCCCCACAACATCAGAACAGATAAAAACTTCCCTACAAAACACTCAGCGAGAACAGAAGCTCCAATACCGTTTTAACTGCTTAAGATAAATCCGTACAAGTTCCTTGGAAGTAACTTGTTTCGTCCTTATAAGTTCTCCGAGTTCAAGAACCTGCCATGAAGCATTCTCTAACCATATGAAAACTATCGATCTATTATAACAACAACAAATTAAAAAAAGGAAGATGACTTACACTCATGAATGCAATATCTTCTTCATCACTAGGGAGTAGTACTCCAGACACTGAAGGATACTTGAATCTTTTTCCTTGTGCTCGTGGAACTTCTCTGTTCCAAGATGGATTAAACACCAGCGGGGATGGATTCTCCAAACCTCCATTCTTAGTAGCCACGAGTTTACGGTTGGTTCGATATATAGGAACGTTCATCTCAGTGGCCCCATTTGCAATCTCCTGAATCTATATATATAACCTCAAAGACATGTCTAAAACCACCCCAAAAACAAAACCAAAGTTTGAAAACATGAATCATTATTACAAACATGTGTTTTTAGTTTCCATTAAAAGACTCCTAAGTGGATTTGTGTAAATATATTTATAGTGAGGAGGAAGACTAATAAGTATCAAAGGGCAATACCTTAGTTTCATTGAAGAAACCAGCATCAATCAACTCAAACATACTCTGCAAACACTTAGCTTCCATTGTCCTATCTGGTAATTCAGTTTGAGTTATGTTACTGTCCTGATAAAAAAAAACATTATATAAATGACATCAGCTCATTAAACAAATTTGAAAAAGTCAAATTCAGATTATTTACCTTGGTGAAGTTGTAATCCTACGGCAAGGAACACTCACTTTCGAGTCCAGAATTTTCCACAGTTTATTACAGTTTCTCAACATTGAAACAGAGGACTCACATGAAGGATTTGCGTCCGTGAAAGAGACGGTTAAGCCTAGGAGGAGGAGGAGGAGGTGTAGAAGCGGCGCGCATGTACGAGTACGAGGAAGTGAGCCACGCGTCAGTAAGCAAAGTCGTATGGTTGGATCACACGTGGCGATCGGTGGTGCGAACATCGTGTCGGCTGGTGAATCGTGGTTAGTAACGGTGACTGAGAATCGCTTTTTTTTTTTTTTTTTTGGTTGTAGGTTTTGGG